CACTGGTTTTAACATTATGATATGATCAGAGATGGAAAACACCATTTACAGCCAATACTTACCATTGGAAATACATGGTTTTAAAGCTTTTTAACAGTTATAGCGCCACCTATGGTCCGATCTCCATGAAACTGTGCATGCTTCTTCAGCATGTTATGACACATATGCTCATCAATTTTTGTAAAGTTCTGAGTTTTCCTTTAGGATTTACAGGCTTTTGGGGCTTTTTGTCACGCCCCTTTTGTAAATGACCCTGTTATAGCAAGACAAATGACAAAGTTGAACTTTTTTTGGATAATTATTGATCAAGAGAGTCCAAAGAATTATCCTAGACTAGTCTGGTTCCGATCGGGCAAAAAACCAGGGACTAGTTCGCAAAAGTAGGTTTTTAACATATTCGTGAATATTTAACGAACGAATTGATTGACAGCAATGGTTCTTGAGGCAAAGTTGTTCATCATGAGGAGATCTATCAATTGATATACATTTTGTGGGGGTGTGTGCAACACCACGTGATTACAGAGCAATAAAACTCGTTAGCGCCAACTAGTGGCCGATTTCTTTCAAAATTTTTACAGACCTCTAGGGCCATGAGTCGAACATTCCAACGAGTTTCGTTCCGATCGGCCTTCGTTAACCTTGTTTCATAGATGCTCAAACTTCATTGGCCGATGGCGGCCATGTTTTTTGAGATACACCAATGTCCTTATAGACTTACATGAGGCCTGGACCAAGACACTGCATACCAATTTTCAAGTCAATCGGACTGACGGTCAGGTGTTTATCTGTTTTTTTCATTTTATAGCGCCACCTAGTGTTCAATCGTCGCGATTTTTTTACTGTCACCTCAAATTGAACTCTTACACATGTGTACCGAGTTTGGTGAAGATATCTCATTTACTTCTCGAGCTATAGCCATTTTAGTAAAATAGGCTCCTCCCAAACGTTTATTTTGCTTCCCCTAGCGACCGGAACGAGAAATTTCAACATTTTTTTGATAATTATTAATCTTCAGACTCCAGAGAACATTTCTGCACTGGTTTGGTTCCGATCGGGCAAAAAATCCAGGGACTAGTTCGCAAAAGTAGTTTTTCGACAAAATTCAAAATGGCGGAAAATCTATCATGACGGAAATGAAATCGGAGATATACGTTTTTCTCGTCAGGTGACCAGCTTTCCAACGATATAAGACACTTGAGTGTACGACTTACGGTCTAGGAGTTATGAGCAGTTTTGCGCAATTGGTCGCTATAGCGCCACCTATGGGCCAATCGGGCTCATAATTTGATAACCTCTCCTCGATTTTTGTACTACCATCTGACAAAGTTTCAGAACTGCAGCACTTACGGTTTGGTCTGCACGATGCGTTTTACGGCAGAATAATAATAATAATAATAATAATAATAATAATAATAATAAATCAATACAATTACAATAGGGTTCAGCACTTCGTGCTTGAACCCCTAATAATAAAAATCAATACATTACAATAGGGTTTAGCACTTCGTGCTTGAACCCTAAA